TATCTTTTTAACTTAAACTCATAGACTTTATACACTAAAGATTTTGATATTTAGTCGTAAGCAAAAAATGCTTGTAAGAAGCGAAAGATAAGCCTATATTAGTCAGGACTCATCCGATATATTGAACGAGAAATAAATTGAATTCAAATTTCTTATGATTTTCGTGAATAACAGAAACAAATTTCCTGATTAACGACTCATTTCCTCTTTGGGCTGTTCTCTTGTTGTGTTCGTTCGGAGTGTCTCTTCTCGTATACTTGACGTCCAGACCCGAGGAACCGCCTATTTATCATAATTTGTTTGCATTTATTGGTTTTGGTATTTCTGCTTTATTTATTAACTCAATCGCATCAGAAGTGATCAATATTTTGGAAACAATTGGTATTATGTTTAGCTTAAGTGATGCTATACTGGGTCTTACAATATTAGCCTGGGGTAACAGTCTAGGAGGTAATTTGAATTCATTTTTATAAGTTCAAACATTTAGCTTACAGTTTTTTATACCTGTAATAGACTTAATATCAGACCTATCAATGGCACGACATGGTTATCCAGGTATCGGCATCTCTGCTTGTTTTGGTGGACCACTGCTTAGTAAGTGATTGATAATAACAATTATAATTGTGATTTTAATGAATAAATATTTTTTTCATTCAAAACAGACTTACTTATGGGTTTGGGATTACCCTATACTATACTGTTAGTTGATGAACCAGAGGATAAAGGGGTTGAGGTAAATGCTTATATCTATATTATATATATACCTGTATCCATTTGATAATTATGCTTAAAAATATTTTTATTTTTCAAACTTATAGTTAGTGTACAACCGCATGGTCACTTTATTATACACGACCATATCAATTAGTCTGGTATCATCGATGGTCTTATTTATATGCAATCGTTTCCAATCGAAACGATTTCACGGAATTTATTTAATTTGTATTTATTTGGTTTATGTGGTGTTTGCTGTACTCATCGAGTCTAATATTTTGTAAATATATTTTCGTTTTTTAATACAATACCATAGATATTGCATTTTATATACTAATAGCTGACTAGTCTAATTTCTGTATATTACGAAAATTAATTTTATATATTAATTGTTTTTAAAATTTCATATTAATAAATTAATGTTACAAAACGTTTATGCCATCAATCATTTATTTAAATCGATATTAAATTTATTAATTTATTATGAAAAGTAGTTCACAGAAATACATGACTAATGACTATAAAAGAGACATTTTTTTATTTTTAGAGATTATATTCATATAATAGGGAAATCATGAAAACGTGATTCTACTATATTATGCAGAATATTCTGTACGACTACATGAATACAGTCATTGAATGTATGTTTGTGTGGACTCTTCCATAGATTTAATTTTAGTTAATTTTATGCATCGATTGACACACTCTGTAGCAAAATAAAAATATATGAAACATTGAATTAATGTAAATGTATGCTAACATTAATAGTACAATGGGTTGTGTCCAACAAAATCAAGTTAATTATAGAACTAATGCTTTTTTTGTCACAACAGTTTGCTATTGCCTACCATTTTGGTTTAAAAATCATATCATTAAAGAGTTTTATGACTTGTTTTTCTGTTACGATTCCTAAAACATTATAAATTTGTTAATAAATACTTAATATTATAAGAAGTAGTAAAAAGTTGTTTAAAATATTAATATTAATGTATAAATAATTATACTTATAACGCTAATGTGTTAATTGGGTTAAGTGTATAAAAATGAGTTATAATTACATAAAAAAAATTATTTTGTAATAAATAATAACAAACGATGGGTCGGACATCACGAGTGGCACCGGAATCAAGTGATGAGAGCAAAAGTGGTGTCACATCTAACGGCAAGAGTTCATCCAATAGTCAGTTAGCCTTTGAAAACCTGGACCTCTCGTCGGCTATAACGGGAAAAGTGATTGAAACTAATCTCTCGACAACTAATTTACGTCTGACTGAAAACGATAAACCGGTTAAACCAAAGCGTAAGCCTCGCAAACGACTGGCCAGATCTGTGTCCGAAGTGGTCGAGGAGAAGGAGAAACGAGAGAGAAATGTCATCTCAAGATTCGGTCTGTTTCTCAAACATAAGAGATTTAATTTCATTAATTAATTAATTAAAATAATTAATTCAATGTTTCTATTAATAGCTTATAAATATAGACGAAATGGTGTTTTCGGTATCTGTGTAGCAGTTGTCGATGAAATACATATATTTAAATACCGGTGCGGAAAGTGTTCACGGTTTTGCTATAATAAAGTCACGTGTCAAAAACAAAAGGACGAGGATAATTAAATTAATTACTATGGAAAGCAAAGATATTTTTAATAAAGTGCTTCTAATACTGTTAATTAAATGACAATATTTTATACAAAACCTATTTTGGGTAATTGTTTTGTATTTAAAATACAATTTAAATGACTAATATTGTATTTAAGTAACATTTAAGAAAAAATATAATTAAGTTAATAATTAATATTTGAATAATGAATTAATAATTTAAATAAATAATGTTCAATAAATATGTTTAATTAAAAGTTTCAATGAATACACAAAAGTAAGAATTGATTTGGAAATAAATAGTAATGAATATGAAATGCATTTTAAAATTCATGAACATATGGGCTAAACATTGGAAAAATAATATTTATTAAACAAGTCGCTAATCTATGTTTCAATTATGACTAAAACTAAAACTAAATTCATTTCTTTCGTTGTGTTCATAATATTAAGCACTCGTTTGGATGTCATATTAGGCGACGGCGAGGGTGAAGAGGGTTCGGCCGAAAACAGTGTCACCGAAAAGGAGTCGGCCGGCGGTGGTGACGGTGACCAACCGGCAGCCGCCGCCGACACGCCCATCGCTATCGGCGACAATAAGCACCAGTACTGCGACTGTTGCGATGGGGAGGGTCTCCGGTGCGGCGCCAAACTGCACGCGTGCGGCGCCCAGGGATGTAATCCTCATTACCTGTATTACTGCGATCTGGACAAGAAGAAGGG